TTTCTATGCTCAAAACTACTGTCCTTTTGATTATTTGAATTGACCATCCCTGTACCAAAGACCACTGTTCTGATGAAAATCCAGGAGACTGCCTTTGAGGACTAGTCCAGGTAAGTAATGTCCCATTCCTTTTGATAATTTTATCAAGAAACATCTATTAAGTGTTTGATTGCAGGATTTTCTTTGCCAAATGCTTCTTGAGTTTGGATGTACTTACAAGATAAGGAGTACCTATCTTTGGTGCATTTGGGTTAATCATGTAAAACAGGGGTATCCAATCTTTTGGCTTCCCTGGGCCACATTGGAAGAAGAAGAATTGTCTTGGGCCACATATAAAATACACTAACACTAGCCGGGCACAGTGGTTCACACCTGTAATCTCAGCACTTTGGGAGGCCGAGGCGGGCAGATCACCTGAGGTCAGGGGTTCGAGACCAGCCTGAGCAACATGGAGAAACTCATTCTCTAAAGAAAGAAAATATATATACATATACTAGCACTAATGATAGCTTATGAGCTAAACAAAAATCCCAAAAAAATCTCATAATGTTTTAAGAAGTTTATGAATCTGTGTTGCACCACATTTAAAGCCTTCCTGGGCTGCATGTGGCCCATGGGCCATGGGTTGATGTAAAGCTTACCAAAAGATAAGGGAATGTGAATGCTGCTTCTTTTTTTTTTTTTTTGACCCCGCCCCACCCCCATGAATGCTTCATATATCTGTAGTGCTCACAGAGTTCATAATTCATCACATTTGATCCCCACATTTTACAGATAATGAAACTGAGGCTCGGAAAGATTGTGACTTTCCAAAAGTCTGATAGATAACAGAGTTACTGCTCTAATCTAGTTCTCCTGACTCCAAATCTAGTGATCTTTCCTAAATATTTAACTCCCTTTCCTGCAATAGAAATTTTGCTGTTACCTTGGCAACTGCTATGCACAGTGCCTGGAAACCATCTATTGCCTTCTCTGTGTGCCACACAGTTAGTTAAACTGAAGTGACCTTAACCACCAGTCTTCCAGTCAAATTCCCTTCTTTCTGTGCTTCATTTTATTTCTTTCTTTATTTTTAAATTTTTTTTTTTTTTTTTGAGACGGAGTTTCACTCATGTTACCCAGGTTGGAGTGCAATGGCGCGATCTCGGCTCACCGCAACCTCCGCCTCCTGGGTTCAGGCAATTCTCCTGCCTCAGCCTCCTGAGTAGCTGGGATTACAGGCACGCACCACCATGCCCAGCTAATTTTTGTATTTTTAGTAGAGACGGGGTTTCACCATGTTGACCAGGATGGTCTCGAGCTCTTGACCTCGTGATCCACCCGCCTCGGCCTCCCAAAGTGCTGGGATTACAGGCTTGAGCCACCGCGCCCGGCCTATTTTTAAATTTTTGATACAGAGTCTTGCTCAGTTGCCCAGGCTGGAGTGCAGTGGGGGATCATGGCTCACCGCAACCTCCACCTCCGGGTTCAAGCAATTATCCTACCTCAGCCTCCTGAGTAGCTGGAATAATAGGCATGTGCCATCACACCCTGCTAATTTTTTGTATTTTTAGTAGAGATGGGTTTTCTCTATATTGGCCAGGCTGGTCTCAAACTCCTGACCTCAAGTGATCCATCTGCCTCAGCTTCCCAAAGTGTTGGGATTAAAGGCCTGAGCCACCACACCCAGCCTGTGCTTCATTTTTTTTTTTTTTTTCTTTTTCTTTGGGACG